CACAGAGAGCCCTGTAATGAAAAGGCTAGGATGAACATCAGTGTGCAGATCAGTGTTGCTTCTCCAAGCCAGAGCATTCTGCTTCCATGCAGTGTGCATATAATGCCATTAGAGAATGAAAAAAAAATAAAATACTGAAAGGTCCACCTCAGAGACTTTCTCAGATAAGAAATTTATTTCTTTACCAGCTTTAATTTCTGCTACTGTGTGAAATAAGCAAGTTTTCCTCTTATATGATCTGCCAGTTTTTTCTCATTTTTATTCTAGCAGCATTTTAGCCCTCTGGCTGCAAGAAACAGATGTCAATGTTCTTGTGTAGTTTTTTCCCTGTTCCTACCTATCTTTACTCTACTTCAAAATCTCCCAGGATGCCCAGGGTAAGTGACATGTATTAGAAAATCATAAGCCTTTTAATCCTACAGGACTTCTTTTTCTTCAGATTCAGACCTCTGAATCTTTTTAACTTTGGTGGAAAGACCACTCCTTTTCTTCCTTTAGACCCTCACACAAATCAAATTATCCGTGAATTTATTTTTGCCCAACAAAGTATGACCCAAAAATGATGTTGACTTGCTTCAAGACTTGCTGTGAATTATCTTTGTGGATAGTACCCGCATATTTTGAGGGGAAATCCTATTTTTCAAGGGTGTTAAAGGGCGCATGCTTGTAGGTAATTACTTACAGAAGCTACTTTCACAAAATGTGAGGGTTTTAGAAAGGAGACAGGATAAGATAGGCTAGGCTAGGCTAGGCTAGGCTAGGCTAGGCTAGGCTAGGCTAGGATAGGATAGGATAGGATAGGATGAGCTTGACTGTCTGTAGAGAAAAGAAGAAAAGGGAAAGGGAAAATAAAGGTATAATACTTGATGTTTGTACTTCCTGTAGCCAATACCAGGATGGAAAGTCTCTCTATGATGTTTGAGAGTATGATGCAACAGTTGGAATATTGTTCTGGATCAGGGAAATTTTGATGCAAAAAAAGTGAGGAAGAGTAGGGAAGTGCCTCCAAAGAATAAGGAATATGTAGTCCAGGTTTTAGCCTACCAGACCCAGGTGGCTTGTTTTGTATATGCTGTGAGTGAAGATTTTTCCCAGATGTCATTAATTCCACGGGAGTCTAAGGAGGCCTGGGTGTCTTGAACACAGCAATGCTCCAAAACAGCAACAATCAAGCAGGATGATAGACAACCTAATACACTTAGATCGTCACTTTTCACTCTGAGAACTGTAACTTGACCCTCCATCCTTGTCCAGAAGCAGCAACACTTCATTTCCTTGTTTGAACTTTGGCTGGCTGTAGATTGTCACACAAATTCCTGTCTGACTGATCACATGAACATAATGTTGCTAGACATGAACTCTGAATTTTCATTAAAGCCTGTTATCTGTATGCAGTCTTCTTCCAATCTGTGCCTCTTCTCTGTCAGTCAGCTCCACTTCCTGCCCAAGCCTACGTTGTCTTTGTTAAGATTTTTAAAGTATTTTAAGATTCAGATATCAAGATAGGCGTGCATAGTTGTAGACTAGGAACAGAATGTGGGTGTCTCTTAAAGACTTTATTTTGATACCCATGGTTCTGGAAAAACCGAAGTAATGAATATATAGCCAGTGAGAGCATATTATTAACAAATCTAGAAGTGAGATGTTATTTGTAATATATGTGAGAGGATTGTATTGCAGATGTTGATGTTTTCCAAATCTCAGTGTGTAACTGCAGATTCTTTCTGACTGTAGACATTTATCTTTGTGCATGTGTGCATGTGAGTGCAGGGAAGAAGCAGTTATTATAATTCTGATGAGTACTACAACATCTGTAACTTTTAGTCAGATGAGCCACACCTATTGTGACAGCTATTTTGAAAGAAAATAAAGATAGGGTTGTTTTTGTTTGGTTGGTTTTTATTCATAGGGCTAATAATTTCTCTATATGATTACCAATATTTGATAATAAATTTCATAGTGAGAATTTCCAAGTCATAAAATAAAAATAAGTAATCAAACCAGAAAATAGATAACATATAGTGAAAGTAACATATATCCATACCTGCACTGAATAATTTTAGTTGAATACTTTTTAAATACTCATTTTTTAATTTTGTTTGTTAGCTTAAAGAGTTTTATTCTCAATTCAGAATGCAATTGAGGGTGTCTAAACATATAATTTAGTTCCATGAATTCAAAGGTACTGAAAGCCTGATCTGAAATCCATTGAAGTTAATTAAGCCTTTTCTATCATCACTTAGAAATTAAAACAATTTTTTAAACTAAGTAATTAGTTAGACTATTTAAAAACAAAATTTGAAAATAGTGTTATTAATTGAAGTAAGGCTTTGAAATCAGTACAAAGCATTTAACTCCAACTGCAATTAATGCAGAAGCTTAAAACAGAGTTTCTCATCAACTTAAGTGTGAGACAATGCTTATGAGCTGGTTTTCATAAAAGAATCCTTTATCATTTACCAATCTTTTTTTGCTATATTGTCCTTCAGAAATGAAGAAAATATCTCTTACAATATGGTCTTCAAATATCATAAGGGGTAGAAAAGAAAAAAAAATCAATCAAACAAAAAGAAGCAACAAACAGAAGGCAGAATAAAACCCAACCCATGGAGTCATTCCCAAATGGGATGTGTTTTTCCAATTCCTTCATGAGTAGTCTGATGGGTTGCTGTAGTCCTAAGGGTTGATGTTGGTATTTAATATTTTTTATTCTTTTGTTTGCTATGGATGATATACTTTGCTCAGGTGCACAAGATCATGGACATCAGAAGTGCCTCTGAACTGTCAAGATCAGATTTGTGTTCTGCTGCCATAAGGAAAACAGATCCTGCAATACTGGCATCCCTTGCCTGCACTCCATAGGAAAACAGAGTTGAAAGGGATATTTTTTGCTGGCTTAAGAACTGGCTGCTTGGCCAGGTCCAGAGAGTAGCAGTAAATGGTCCTACATCCATTTGGTACCTGGTCACTAGTGGTGTTCCTCAGGGCTCAGTATTGGAATCAACATTATTTATTGTCTTTATAGAGGATCTGAATGATGAAAGGATCAAATACACCCTCAGTAAGTTCGCAGATAACACTAATTTGCGTGTGACTGTCAATCTGCTGGAAGGTAGGAATGCTCTGCAAAGGAATCTGGGAAGGCTGAATAAAGGGGCCAACACTAAAAATGAGTTTCAATGGGTTTGTTTAGTGGGGAGAAAAGGAGGTATTCAGGGAAGATCGTATTGCTCTCTGCAAGTCCCTGAAAGGTTGTAGCCATGTGGGTGTTGGAGGCAGTAAGTCAGGAGTTTCTCTGAATCCTTCAGAGAGAGATCAGACTGCAGGGATTGAATGAAAGTCTTTGGATGGATTGAAGTATGTTAAGCCACTCACACATAAGGCAGAGGTGAAAGTTTAGGTTTTAGTATGAGTGAGCAAGTAAGTAAGTAGGTGGAATGAGTAAATGAGTAGATGAAGTGAGTAAGTGAGTAGATGGAGTGAGTAAGTAAGTAAACGGAATAAGTTTTAAGTGCTTTTAGTAAGTAAAAAAGGTCTTAGATACCAGTGTAGTAGTACATGCTCTAGTGAAGGTTAAAAAACGTAGTCCCGGATGCTAGTGTTTCTGTGGAGGCTCCAAGAACTTAGCTTTAATAATAGAGTTAATAATAGAGTTAAGAATTTTGCTTACATTTTTCAGTTAGAACAGATAAGCCTTGAACGTAGTCTATACGTAGCCTGGTGTGCTTAGAAACTAGAATTCTAATACGTTAAAAAGTAGTGGTCCAAGTTTGTGCCTAGTTGGAAAGTTTCTATACAAGAACATGCATTAAGGAGAGCTGGTGCTCTATGCCATGGCTTTATGCCATTGCATTTTGCCACTGCTTTTGCCATTGCTTTATGTCACTTGCTTTTTTGCCATTGCTTTTTGCCATTGCTTTGATTTGTTTTTGCCTTTGAGACTGATGTGCTTCTGCAATAAATAACTTTATAATAACTATTAACTTGCTTGACTTATGAAGGAAATAACCCAACAGTGTGGGTGCCTAAGAGCACCCAGAGGTCTAACCTCACAGGTGGGGGTCAGTCTCTTCTGCCAGGCAACAGCAACAGGACCAGAGGACATAGGGAGGTTTAGGCTGGACATTAGGAGGAATTTTTTCACAGAAAGGGTGCTTGATTAGACATCGAAATAAGCTGCCCAATGAGGTCCTGGAGTCACCTTCCCTGGAGGCGTTTAAGGAATGACTTAGTGCCATGATCTAGTTGAAGTGATGCTCAGTCAAAAGTTGGAATCAATGATCTCAGAGGTCTTTTCCAGACTAATTGATTCTGTGGTCCTGAGAAAACCAAACACAGAGACCAGCATAGATGAGAATGACCTCTTAGCTGGAGACTTCTGTCCTTGACTGCGGATTAGCAAAACAATGCATGCTTCTGCTAGTAAGTTTAGATCCAGCTGACTCCCTTCAGCCTGGACTGTAATGTACCAGTCCTACCTGGTTAAGAAATTTTTATTACTTGAAGTTGCATTTCAGTGCATCCTTGAAGTGTTTAATTTGTCTGTCCTTGTTACGTTACTTCTTTAAGTCCAACACACACCAGCTGCTGCAGGATGCCAGTGTCTTCTATCCTAGATGCAAGACCAGTCCAGTGCAGCCTTTTTATAATGATCATGGCTACAGTCCCTGGAACATAACTGTGCTCTGAAACTTTTTTATTGAAAATTTTATCCTGCCATCTGATGCACAATATGGTCCACAGATGGTGCAGATGACATTTGTCTAGGAGTCATGTATGTCGTCACTAGCCCATGTCTTCAAACCATTCAGCAAATTGGATAACAGAACTGCTTTATAGACTTTTAATGTGATCTACCAATTAATGTTGAGCTGCTGTTTGACCTCAGAGTAGCCTGCATCCACAGCCTCATGGTACAGTACAAAAAGCAGTATTTTTTTCTTGAAATTTTTAGAATAAAAACAGAATGGTAGAAGAATGAGGAGAAGGAAATATTAGTGTTTTCTTCTAAAGGTTGTTTTTTTTTTTTTTTTTTTAAGTCTGGTTTCCACTGTTTTAAACTGGAAGCATTCCAGTTGTTGACTTCACATGTCTGTTAAGAATCAATACTTAACAGTTATAGTTCATTTGTGTTTCTTATTTATTGCTATAAATGGCTAAGTAGCTCATGGAAATGCCAGACTTTGCTTACACCAGGCAGTAGGGAGTTAAATGTCTTATGAATCTGAGTGTACAGATAAACGAGTAGTTTGATGCTGACAGGACATCTGCTGATATATAATAAATACTATATGTGACTAAGGTTATAGAGTTTGTCTCTCACGTTCCTATTGTTCAGGACAATTAAAAATAAAAAAGAAAATTTTAAAACAAAAAAAAAGTCACCCCATCACCTCTGCTAACTGATCAGATTTTCCCTCTTTGTCTATGGAGAAAACTTAGAACTCAAGGGGAATATTTCATCTCAACAGAAGCTTTTCTTTTGTTCCACAGAATCACAGAATGGGTAATATTACTCCACTGAGACAATGATTCCTTTTTTTTTTTTTTTTTAATTTTATTTAAAAACATGTAAAAGAGTAAAAGAGAGTTCAAATTATGTTATACTAATGCATTGCCACTACAGAAGGTATCTTTTCCCTCCAGATCTACTGTAAATTATACAGCACTAGGCTTTTAACTTTCTCATATGGAAAATTTCTTCTGAGTAGCTGTGTTCAACTGCCTTCTTTTGGACTGTATATTTCCCTCAGTGATTTTTTTTTTCTTTGTCTGTTTATAATCTATGTGTGGATAATCAGAGCTGATTGCTGGTTTAGGTGATGACACTATTAAATCACATGCTGCTTACCTTGTACTTTTCCTTTTGTGATATTTTCTATTTTAGTATTCCTTTCTTTAAGAAAAAATAAAATTCTAAATTATAAACTGAACATATGTTTCCAGTAAGCTTCCCAGGTGTTTAGCCTCAGTGACTACAGTTAATTTGAACCCAGAAACATAGATGAGTAATTCAACTGAAATTATTCTTTTTGATGTGTTTTGCCTATAAAGTATATTATCTTTTATTCAATGGATTTCCTCTTCATTTTTCTGCATTTATTAATTCACACTAAAGTTTTGTGTTTATTTTCTTCTCAAAGAATGTAGGTATAAAATTCTATGTATTTTATTAAGCTGACTTAAAGAGTAAATGGGATTAATTAAGTTTCTAACGTTTTTCATACTTGGTTAGTTATTTTGAAAGGTAATATCTTGCATACAGTTCTTTCCTTGGATATGACTGTGCAATAATCTTAATAATGTCTCTCAAATGTAGACATCAGGTTGTTTACTGTCTTGTCCAGACTAGTAAATAATGCTAGTGGTAATAAAGCCCAGTGTAAGCCTATTTCCAGTCTAACAATGGATCTTTTTCTACACTTTTGAGATTTTATCTTTTAAAGAACACATTATCCACAGCACTCTTCATCCTACTCATGTCTCCTTAAAGGCTCCGAAGAAAACCTAGAAAGTTCACAGTATGGTGTCTTGAAACCTCAGAGGACATGCAAGACGTAAGTACCTGCTTGC